GTAGGTACTCATTAGCTTATTTGTGGTAATAAGCATTTGGTGATGAAGGAAAAATATAAATTATATTTTTAGCCTGCACTAAAGATTTAAGGATACCTATATTACAATAAAATACAAGTACAAGGTATAAATAAATAATTTAATAACAGTGCTTCTAAATAGGCAACATACGAACAAATTGTGGCTGCACTGCACTATTCCCAACTGAGTGCCCAGCCATATCGGTTCAGCATATACCATTAATAACTGCTTTTTCAAAAGAGTAGGTATTTATGAATGGCCGATATATAAAAAAATAAAAGAATGACTGTATGATCCACAACACTGTTTGCAACGTTATCGGCCATTGTGTTTCTGACGTATTGCAGTGTTTAGAAACCCTTTTAAGTATTATCCCACGTTAAATTGTAATTTTATAAAAAAATTATTATTAAAAAAACAAAATACCCGACTGCACACTAAAAAAAGAGTAAAACAAGCCCCACAATAATATTGATCAATCAAATGCTAAAAACTAATTATGTAATACCGTTTAAACAATACCTATATTAAAATACACTACAATATGTGTTCGTAATCGATAGTTAAATAAACAGAAACTTATTTTGAATACAAATTTACTGAATATAATTTATAAATGTTGATGGAATGCATCGCAGGCGGGGACCAACAGAGGCTTATTTATAGTCATTTCGGTTGTGCACCATTTAGCAGAATTTTCGTTGGTGGCGGTCAAGGTGGTCCCCGCCTGCGATGCTTTCCATCAACATTTATAAATTATATTCAGTAAATTTGTATTCAAAATAAGTTTCTGTTTATTTAACTATCGATTACGAACACATATTGTAGTGTATTTTAATATAGGTATTGTTTAAACGGTATTACATAATTAGTTTTTAGCATTTGATTGATCAATATTATTGTGGGGCTTGTTTTACTCTTTTTTTAGTGTGCAGTCGGGTATTTTGTTTTTTTAATAATAATTTTTTTATTTATAACTTTTTAGCTGTTTTTATTTCGATATATACAAATAGGGATATATCGAATAAAATCGCTATTTAGAGACGACCGTCAACGACGTGTGCCCTCATGCGTGTGCCCGCAATCGGGCTAATACTCGAGCATATCCCCCTCCGCACCGCGCCGCGCGCCGCATGCCAGGCCACGCCCTATCTTTTTGCTTGCTAACGCATGAGTTGCTTTGCGTTGACGCAGAATTAACATGTTCCCGTGGGAATTTTGAGAAAAAACGTATCCTATATTAATTACTCCCGTGATTGAAATGAATCTAATGATACCGCATACATATTTTTTTAAAGGGAAATTTAGAAAAAATATTATTATGTCTTTATCCCGTGGGACTTTTAGGATAAAATGTATCCTATGACACTCCCGTAATCAAGACAAATCTAACGATACCTCATACATCAAAATCCATCAAGCCGTTTAGGCTACAGGTGGTCACAAAGGAAAAGACATACATACATACTTACATACACTCGAAAAACATTACCCTCCTTCTTTGGCAGTCGGGTAAAAAGCCACCGGTATCAGTGAATACCAGGTTTATATTTTTTATACAGATATTGGTATGCCGTGTTAATTATGTCTAGGTATGTTTAAGTATAAGGAATAGTAAATATTGACAAACTTAACGTTTGGCACACCCACTCGTATACTAAATTCTTCAATAGGTACATTAATGTTTTTTAAAATCTTAATCTACCATATTATACAACATTGACTTAATCTTTTAACAATCGAGACAATATAGGTACATTATTTTGAAACAAGACATGATAAAAATGTTGAGTTACATATTTTTGTAGCACGCCTATCTCCTTGCAATGTCGTGGAGAACTTAACGGGCTACCGGGGCTCCGGCTCGACGTGCAGGAGAGGGAACGGGGTGGTTTTTAATCAGTAAGAGTCTGACACTTCCTCCCGCCTCACCCAGGCGGCAGCAGTCATTCGATGATTTCCCCCCTTAAAAAAATATCCTTGCAATCATTCTTAGTTTTAATATATGTCTATTTATGGGTAGATACATAGGGGTACTCAACTGCCCTTTACCCAATACCAATGACAGTCACTTTATTCTTACAGTTGATTGACTCTCGTAGTTTGCGTAGGAAGTTAACCTCGGGATTTATATTTACGTAATTATGTACATAGATAAAACGAGTTTTAACTTCCTTTATGCTTCCATCTAAATGAGCATTGATGAAACACGTCTATTGTGTATCATAATGGTGATGGATTTTTATTAATTACGATTACTTACGTTCGCTTTTATGTCTACCATTGCCTAGGTATTAAATAGCGATATCTATCCCTCGATTAACCAAAGTTGCTTGATAGATGACATAGTTTGAGGTTTAAGATTTTCGGGGTGAGTAAAATGTGCTAAAGTAAAACTAGCCGCAAAACTCGAGAATGACTAGACCAAAAAGCTAATTATTATTTTTATGTATTGTTTAATATTGTTCGGTCAAGGACTATATGAATAAAAAAATCGGAATTTTGCACTACGATAGTTGAGGGATACGACCTATCTACTATACTTATTTGTGTGAATCTGGAACTAACCCCTAATTAAGATATAATCTGCAGTTAATAGAGAAATTCTCCACAATTTTCTTTATTTGAATTGTATATTCTTTAAGTAAGATGTAGTAAATTAAAAACATCTCAGAGGTATAATAATGATAAAACCCGTTTCTTGATCAACTTATTAATAAGATCGATATTTGTATTCACATTTTATTAATAGGTTTTACCAATTATTAGCTGTATAGCGTGAGTATTTTCCATTGAAGTAAGTTTTTGTAGCTATTTTTAATTTTGAGTAACTTTTTACGTTCGTATGGCCCATGTAAAAAAATGGAAATTTTAGAAATCAACGTTAAATAGCTAGGAATATCCCATCGTAACAGTAACTCTAAATTGATGATGAGGCCTTTAGTTTTGTTTTTTGGGTTTTTTATAATCATTATTGCAGTTGGTAGGTATCTACCAAAACGATTCCGTGAGGATTTCCAGCCGTTAAAAAAGTACAAAGTTAAGCCATGTCTGCCAATAGAATGCAGCCTGTGTTTGGATTAATATGCAGAAATTACAACTAAATTATTGCTTGACATAAATAAAGCACGCTATCTATGAAAAATTTGAGAGGAATCAAAAGTTTTTGCATTATTTATAAACAGATTTATACTGTGTTATAGAACAATGTAACAACAAGCTTTGTTCACACGTAGATAAGGTTAACATTAACACAATAGTATCTGCGCTTGAAGGTATGTGTAATAATTTGTTAGGAAAATACGTCAAGTATTTGCATAATAACTGTTTCTATCATAAATGGTGTCGTGCTTGAAATTCTTCTGTTATATAAAACTGCCTTCGGTTACGATAACAGATATGTCTATTGATGACTTAGTGAACACTTAGAACCGATGTAAAACATAAATAAACAAAATAATACAACGTATTATATACTAATATATTTTAATATAACATATAGCTATGTATACATTTATAGTAGGTAATTATTTTCATTCTAATTAAGGACTTGTTATTTTCTTTTATTTAGGCAAGATCCTATTTCTTTATCATCATTAACCGGGAGATGGTCACTGTAGAACGGTTCTTCTTAGTCCTTCACGCGAAATGATAACTCGTTACGTGCATTCAATGCTTAAAAAGAGTTATAGTAAGGGATTTAGAAGGGATCTATTGTGAAAATGCGTTTTAGTTTTTGTTTAATAATGATGACTTGCTGGTTTGCTTATGCAAACCCACTGTTTTATTGGGAATTGGTCGGCGTTTGGCCACTATCTCACTTGGTGGTAAGCGAAGCCGACCCCTGAACAACCTGTTTGGTTTTATATCTATAAATCTGTAAACAAATGCGTTTACATATTTACGTCTCGTTTCCATGATAAAATCTCGACTTTAAGTCAAATTAACATTCATGTATTATATTCTAATAACATTTAAAAGCGATCGATAATGTGGATTTAATTATAGAGATTGGTTTGCATCATAAATACGTACCTATGTATATAGGTAATGTATCTAAGCATTTACCATATTACATCTAGATAATTATTTAGACAGATATACTATATCTGTAGGCACATAGACAGTAGTTTTGATATCATTGTCTCAATGACATCTATTTAGACAGGTTTTAATAGGTATATTCTTTAGATGGTCATCAAATGTTCGAATATTTAATTATTATGCTTCACTAAACGGAACTGAATATACTTTCCCAATGAAATTTGAATAAAAATGATTAAATTGGAACAACCAAAATAACGTACTAATATGAGTGCAATATAAACCGAACGAATTATAAAAATGTATTGGTAGCTAAGTAGCTAACGCTTTCGCTTTCAAAAATAAAAATGACTTGTCACAGAAAAACATCTTTGTCTACCTACACAGAAATGTATAAAAACAGATGTATATAAATCTCAAAGAACTCAAAACGAATGCTCGTTAATGTAATTAATTGCACTCGATAATGGTTCGTGTTCGTCATACATATCACTCGTGCGTCCAGTAAAAGTGACTATACTTTTACTTTCATCACATCGCCGTTATTGGAAGAATAAGCGATTCAATCAACAGGAATGAATATGTGTAAAACTAAAATGAGTGGAAATTAACCGGTTGTTTTATTTTTGCACGATTCTGAACAGTGGCCTGTAAATACAATAAGTTCCACGAAGATTTTGACATTATTAAGTAAGTTAAATTACATTAATGTGTCAATATTTTATCAAAAACATGATTATATGTTGTTAAAACGGCTCCAATTAATCATGACTAAAAACATTTTGCCATTCGTGTAATGAGTGCATAAAAATTAATACAAATTTTGCTATTAAATTTTTTTATAAGTGCTTTAAATTAACCACTAAATATTAACTTGTCAAGCACAACACAATGTCACAATATTAAATAAGTTTATATGTAATAAATATACTTACAATGGATATCCCAACGAATAAATACAGGGTCCAGGCCATCGTTAAGCACTTGTGGCAGGTATTCAAAACATATTTTAGTAAATCCGGCCTCAACGGATAGTGGTCACTCAATAATTACATATCGAACCGCGACACTATTTATGTATTGATATGACGTAGGCATGCGGTTTAAGCGAAACACCGATATCGATTAATGGCACGTACACCTGTTTTCGCGGACAGATGTCAACTGACGTGAACAGTGAACTGACCGGCCTGGTTCAAGACGTGTTGTCGCGTTCTCACACAACCAGCGTCTTGAGAACTTTCCATTCACTATATAAATACCCCCTTCGATGTATTTTTTATACATCACTAGAGGCGAGGAAGACCTTTATATACTGGTGAAACATAAGGACATCCTACTGTTCGATTTTATTATTACAGACTACATTTGACCTATTCACTGGCTAAGTTCAAAGGTTTTTTTTACTTATATGACCTATATCTATATTATTCACTCTTTATTACGAATGTTCAATGATTTTTTTTGGAATTTCAGGAATTTTATAATAAATCCATGAGTAGCTACTTAAAAGTAGGTTTATGTGGGTTCGTAGGTCAATAATAATGAGGTATTATGAATAAGTAAAATGTATTTGGGTGATAGCAAGTTATTTATTTTAGTTTTCCAAATTTTCAAGATAGACCTATAGAATAGCTTAAAGTATCTATTTATTCTCCGGAACGAATAACAAGGTAATTTGTTTTCTATGGTTATTTAATTTATGCTCATATTTAGCTCAATAGTTCTTAGATTATTTCTTAAATATAAATTACATAAGCTACCTTCGTCGGTTCTTCTTGAAATTTTATATTATTAAACTGTCAAACACCAAGCGGTCACCGGTGACCGCAACCTATTGTTCTATAATTGTGTCTACAAAACCGGTACTCGACGAGTTAAACTTTATTATTTTAAATGCGATTGCACGGTTCACGTGTTTGTGTGATCCACAGATTGTTGTTCCGGGTCTTGGTATCATGTGTACGTAAACTTGTATGTTTGTAAATGCACCTACAAAACAGAAGAAAATCCTAGTGTTACGTCCTAAGCGTTGCCCCACGTTTGGAAATAATACATGATGGTACATATAACTACCAACTAATATCAATTTGCTGGTTACTTTACAGGGATTTATCAACTCAAAATATGCTTGAATTTACGGAGAAGAATACAGTCTATTTACGAGCGTAAAAGTTAGTAACATAATATGTTAAAAGTTAGTAACATAATATGTTACTAACTTTTATTCATAATTATTATGAATATTACAAATACATAAAATTAGTTAACTTCAGGTTCATTAGCCATATTATAAAATTTTTATGAAAATAAGTACCTACGCAATATATTTAAAAAATAGTAGTAACCAAGTTTATGCAATTGTACAGTAAGTAGCGTATTTAATGACATCGATATATTACCTATTTATAATTATGTTGTGTACAACCCTAAGCATAGAGTTTTCCTTTATTAATATTCTTTAATAATATTAAATTCCACTATAAATTTCTTATCAATTATTGTATAATTAACACCATGCTATGCAATGGCAATTTCTAATCAATATAGGTACTTACCTAAAAGGAAAACATTCAATACATATTTAATCTGATTTAGTCTGAGTAGGTACCTATTAATTATATTATTATTATAACTTTTAAGTACGTATATCCTTTGTCATTTACTATTTTTACTATATACTATAAATTTTAAATAAAAAAATTATTATTAAAAAAACAAAATACCCGACTGCACACTAAAAAAAGAGTAAAACAAGCCCCACAATAATATTGATCAATCAAATGCTAAAAACTAATTATGTAATACCGTTTAAACAATACCTATATTAAAATACACTACAATATGTGTTCGTAATCGATAGTTAAATAAACAGAAACTTATTTTGAATACAAATTTACTGAATATAATTTATAAATGTTGATGGAAAGCATCGCAGGCGGGGACCACCTTGACCGCCACCAACGAAAATTCTGCTAAATGGTGCACAACCGAAATGACTATAAATAAGCCTCTGTTGGTCCCCGCCTGCGATGCATTCCATCAACATTTATAAATTATATTCAGTAAATTTGTATTCAAAATAAGTTTCTGTTTATTTAACTATCGATTACGAACACATATTGTAGTGTATTTTAATATAGGTATTGTTTAAACGGTATTACATAATTAGTTTTTAGCATTTGATTGATCAATATTATTGTGGGGCTTGTTTTACTCTTTTTTTAGTGTGCAGTCGGGTATTTTGTTTTTTTAATAATAATTTTTTTATTTATAACTTTTTAGCTGTTTTTATTTCGATATATACAAATAGGGATATATCGAATAAAATCGCTATTTAGAGACGACCGTCAACGACGTGTGCCCTCATGCGTGTGCCCGCAATCGGGCTTAATACTCGAGCATATCCCCCTCCGCACCGCGCCGCGCGCCGCATGCCAGGCCACGCCCTATCTTTTTGCTTGCTAACGCATGAGTTGCTTTGCGTTGACGCAGAATTAACATGTTCCCGTGGGAATTTTGAGAAAAAACGTATCCTATATTAATTACTCCCGTGATTGAAATGAATCTAATGATACCGCATACATATTTTTTTAAAGGGAAATTTAGAAAAAATATTATTATGTCTTTATCCCGTGGGACTTTTAGGATAAAATGTATCCTATGACACTCCCGTAATCAAGACAAATCTAACGATACCTCATACATCAAAATCCATCAAGCCGTTTAGGCTACAGGTGGTCACAAAGGAAAAGACATACATACATACTTACATACACTCGAAAAACATTACCCTCCTTCTTTGGCAGTCGGGTAAAAAATAGGTAAGTACTGAGAGGAATTCGCCTGGCCCTGTTGTTGTTGGGGCAACGTTTTTTAAAAGAAAAAAAAAAACATACGTCACAGTAAATTTTATTTATTTATTATTTATGTGCACATAAAGGACTACACATATATGTATAAAAACGAAGTACATAGGTTTTATTTAAATTAACACTGTAAATATACTTCTATATCATGTGTAGTTGACAACGAATCAAGTTCAGATTATTTTATTCAAATATAAAATTTGATAGGTATTTTCTACGTACCTATTTCGTACGAAATTGCGACATAGACCGTCATTATATTTTAAAGTCCATATCATACTTATTTCTTAAAAATTCCCTAGACTAATAAATAAAATCAAATTTATTTATTTTTAGTACTTATTTACATGATATATAAAAATAAATAAATACATATGTACCTACTATACTTAAAATAAACTAAAACGAATGAAGAAAATCAAATAAAAAAAAACTGTAAATGACTACATACGGAGAGCATCAAAAATATGAAATAAATAGTAATTTTGAGCTTTCTTTTATTTAATTATTTCTATTATAAAAATAATTTGGTACATTTTTGGGTGTAATGTAAATGACTAGTGAATATAATGAAATTTCAAAATTTTGACTGACTGATTAAACTCAAATTATACAAAATAGGTTTTTTCCATCTACTGGAAAGTAGTCTATAGGTTCCAACGGAAATAAACACGCAGATTTTACAGCAGGTATTTTGTTGTGAAATTGTTAAAAATTAAGGTACCTATCTACTTTTTAGACATTTTTGTTTACCTTACAAGGTATATCATCTACCTATGCAAGTATGTTCGTGAAGTGGAATCTTGCAACTAAATTTCGAAGCAGACCTTCACCAGATTTAGCTGATGTAGGTGTTATATTGTAGGTAGGAGGTATACTCGTTTAGTTGGCATCACCATAAATGCCCAGCTGTTGATTTTAAGGAATTCAAATGCTGTAAAAGCTTGTCGTGACTTTTAGGTTTACCTAAACACCTACATTATATGTATAGCATAAATATTAAAAATAATACCTACCGTATTTTTGGAACATAAAGTGATAAGGTTTTCCTAATTGAGTAAAACCATAAACAAATTTACGGAAATTAAAAATAAAACTAGTTAAAAATTAAATTTGTGGTCTACTACAATTAAATTGTATTATAACTTTTTGCACTCATTTATCATATCATAAAGCATAACTTTATTATGCTATAAAAGGATAAATACGAAAGTAGTAGAATTTTTGCAATCTGTGATAGGCGAATTGTGGTAGGGACAAATGTGGGTTTTTTAATCCATCATCACCCCACAAGAAAAAGTGCGTAACAGTATCTAATTGTAGAATTAAAAGTTGTAATGCAAGAGTATTTGTTTAGACGTCATGTCATACTACTCTAGTCACAGAAAATGAGTTCAAATCAATTGAAATATACAATATGTAGGTTAAATGTATTTTCTGTTGACTGCTTACAGAAAATGCAACGTACTTGCAGAGAAACTACTTGTGCGCCTGGCACGTATTTATCGTAGCACTTATCAAATCATTAAGTCAATAACGATGCTCGTTACCGTTTATCTTGGAGAAAGTTTTGCAAAGTGGCTTGCGACCAACCAGTGCAAGAACCAGTTCTAAGTTATAATAACTATAAGAGTATATCCTTGCCAAAGAGAATCTCTGAAGTTTTATGTAGGTATGCAAGTACCAAATGTAGTAAAACACACCACGTATACATTAATATGTATGGATACATATAATACCCATAAATATGTGTTATTTTGAATTACTATTGGCCTGTCTCGTATAGTCTGAAAGAAGCACATACTTATCACTCCCTAGTCTCCTCACTATCTCCAGACCAATCATAACAAAAAAAGCTTCAGGGTAGAGGCTAGCGGGGTAGCGGCGCGATATGTTGGAGTGTGATCGAACGCCCTGCCTTGAAAGTATGACAACTTTTCTAAAGTACTTAGGTGTTTAATTAATAAAGTATAAAAGAACATTTTAATCTACGTAAAATACCGTCCTTAATGAACAAATATATTTAGATAAGGAATTATAAATAAATCAAGTGGAGGAAATAGTTTCGAAAATAAAGTACCTATCTAGATTTAATAAAGTAGGTAAAGGTACTTTATTTTTCCTTTTCTTATATTTTTTATCAATACTGTGACCACAACTGTACCTAGTTAATGTATTAGATAAATATAGCATTTACGTGGACTCTTTGCTACATATTTTTAAGGCTTAAGTAGAAAGAACAATACTGGGTATCCCTATAAGTATTATCTTACTTTGATCCAATCCGGTAGTGTCAGCCAGTGTTTATAACATAAGCGCAAAAAATTTGGTTATTTACTTACATCACATTAGAAACTTCTTTCTCTTCTAAATTATGTGTGATAAACATATTTTGATAACAAAGGAAATAATTATATACTTACGTCATGATTACATTCCACGTCACGATTTCAATTCTCGAGAATTTCAGTCCAGTGCACTGAAATTCTTGATATTTTTTTACGATTCTTTAGTATTTCCATGTTTTAAAATATAACCCATATCAAATTGAGGAAAATCACGCCTCATTGGACTTGCAATACTTTTAACTCTGAAAAAACTACTGAATTTTCTGGTGCAACTCATTTACTTTGATGAATGATGATTTGATGAAAAAAGATAATTAAAAAAAATTTTTTTTGGCGCTGTCATCAGAGTACACATGGCTACACATCGAGCTTTACATAACCAGTGTAAACTGAACGTTAAATGTGCGGAAAGATGATGCGACGCGACACCAGGATAAACTGGTTTTGTACAGATTGATGTGTGACCGCGTGTACCTCGGATTGTAGCAGAGGAGCTGCCATGATTCTTTTAGGATTTATGGTACGAATAAATTACCTATGTACTGTAATTATGTGTGTATTGGTGATATAAGTATTATTATAATGAATATTTGCATTCACGTTCAAGAATAATCGCATATTTTTTGACAATGACTTTCGTATTTGCGAATATCAAAGTATGATATTTGTTACATTATTAATACCTATGTAGTTTTAGAATAAAGTTCGACAGTCACTAAAATGAGTCTCAGTCACCGCGTGCCCGTTGCAGTTAGTAGTAAGCGTATGAAGTCAAATTATTTTTGGCGGCTTTCACGTCCTGTAACTCTTGACTGCAACGGTAGTTGAGCGGCTGACGCTCACTGCTCATAATTATCTGCACTTATACTTTTTTTTCTATTTTTACAAGCAACATCATTTCTTTCGTCTTTAGAACTAGAGAAAAGTGAGCTGTTACAGTTATAGTTAAAGTTATACGTCAATTGGTGCAACATATTTTTGATCAAACGGATACTTTAACAAAATTTTGACGTTTGTTATTGTTAAAGTAAGTTGGTGCAGCCCAGCCTTAAAGTTAGCGTTACAGTGACTATTAAAACACTAACTAATACTATAACTACTTTCTGTGGTGCAACTAAGCCTTCATAGTAATGCTCACGTTACCTACAATAACAGAGAATATCCATGGCGATGGCGCCTGTGGGCTGCTATGAGCACATTTATGTTCAGTTACAGAGTCTGACATTGCAACATACTCTGCAAAAGTCAAACATTTAGTTACTGTATTTTGTTAACGTGTTTTCGAAAATAAAGAACTCTTAACAGTTTCCAGGATAAAAGAAATAAACAAAAAGTTTTCAGTTATTATATTTTTATTTCAATATGACTAGTAATAATATAAAGACATAGCCTAAATAAATAAGAATAAAGGTACTATTATGAAATACCTAGTTAAATGCCATAAGTTACCTAACTTCTACATCATTAGAGCCTAACCTATAATAGTTTGCAGTGATCAGCAAATAATAAAAATGTATTAAGTAGGTATGTAATTTTTAACAATTGTTTGTGATGAAGGCAGCGGCTTGCGTTCTAAAATTATGTTAAATATAATGCCCAATTTTCATTCATTTGGGCCATGTAATAGACGTGACGCTGCTGTAGGTACACCAGGCACAATTTCATGTTTTAAACTGTAACTGCGAATTTTTTAAAACTATTAATCAGTAATACTTGTTGGAATTTAACCCTAAATTTCTTCCTTGGCATGTTCCACTTGCGATCCACTTGACCAACGAGGCAAAATGAGAAACCTACCTACTAAGATTATTTTTCGAAGTACATAATTAAATTACGCATAAATAGGTAGTTCATTGTTGTCCGTCTTGTGTAACCAAACATTTTATTTATCTTATTTCGTCATCCCACGTTAATGCAACCGGCTTTATGCCAGTGACCTCTTATATTGGCAGGCACAGCAGGTGGGTAGATTCACTTTGATTTTTTCTGTTCCATTTTTACCATCGTGGACGAGGAACTCCCATACGCTATACTTTTGTTTGCAAAATGGTTTCAGCCCCGTAGGATCCCTGAACGATGTAAAACAGGCACTTCCAACTGATCTGTAAAATAAAATTAGAACATTAATTTTGTCTAAACCATTAATATGGATTACCCATATTTTTGGTAGGTAAATCTATGTATAGGTAGGTATACAGTATAATGAGCCAAATGCTATATAAGCTCTGGTCTGCTGATTAATAGAAAACTTAATTTATGGAAATTATACTGACATGTGTAAAAATTTACGTCAATCCCAAATAATTTACTTTTCTACTCTTTTGGTAGACAAGCCCTAAATGGCATTTGGCTCATAGCTCAGGTGTCCCGTGACAATTTCACGGAAATAATACTTTAACTAATCTATTTTCAAAAACAAATGCATAACATGAAATAAATGCCGGGGTATATTATGATTGCTCAATTCGCGTAAATTATAATTTTTCATAAATATTTTATAAGCAAATATATAAATGAATGTATAAAATAATTACAAACTCAAACTTTTGGACTATAATTTATGAGAATCAATGTAAATAAGTTGATAGTGATGCGACGACAAAACTGCATCACAGACCGAATCTGATTTCTTTAAAACTTTCACTACAAGGAATGCTGCGATACTAGTCTAGACCTCATTCTATCGATTGCAATTTGATAGGTTGTTGAAATGCTGGATAAATGCTACATTATTAAATAAAAGTATAAAATTCATACAAAATTTATTAAAAATTATTCGTTGAATTTGTTGGTAAGCGCAAATCGAGAACAGCTGAACCGATTTCGCTAATTCTTTTAATGTTGAGTTTGTTGGTGATAGGAAAAGGTTCTTGTGGACCTATAAATCAACTAGCAAAACTCACGGGCTCCGCTAATATTCTATAAATAATTGTAAAGGTACATTAAACTGTCAAACACCAAGCGGTCACCGGTGACCGCAACCTATTGTTCTATAATTGTGTCTATAATGACGGTACTCGACGAGTTAAGTTTGAGAGAAAAGGGAACATGATAAATTCCTTGAAGGAATAGCTTTCTAAAATGTTTAACTGCATTGTTTTGATATAAAGTCGGAAAAACAATAAAAACACAGACAGATTGGATGATGTTGACCTGCTGACTACTGTAAATTGTACAGGGATACTCTGTGAGAGCAGATAGCTCCTTCTAGATTAGGCAGCACTGTTCAGTAGGTTTGGCTCACCCAAGAAATTCCTACTTTTAACGTTATTAAATTCGATAAAATATTTATATTCTTTATTTTTGTGTTAAACTAGAAAATTGAAGTTTCTTGTAAAGTTACTCACTTGCATGATTCAATTCGCACCATCTGTAAATAATTCTCTTCTGGAGCTTGGACCACTGTGCGCCACTCTCCTTCCAAGGACTTTACTTTGTAAAGCGGCTCGAACTGGAAATTGAAACATTTGTCTGAGTCATTTTGCATAGTATACATATATTATATTTTGTTCGTCATATGAATACTTATTTTGGCAAGGCAATTTTAAATTGTTATGATTAAGGTACCTCTTCTCTTTGCACGCCACTGAGCTCAATTTTTAGCTTCTTTTGAGTATAAAACTTACTAATTAAATTATCAAATTTAGTATAATTTATTTAATTCATTCCAAGATTTGTGTTTTTTTATATTTACCGTCACGACAGTGTCACAGTCATCCACTTCGTCTGGGTCGCCTTGGCGATCATCTGTCATCATAAATGTTGGCTGGAATATTGGTTCCTGAAATTATTTGAACATTGTTATGTTAGATCATTATATTGATTTCTGGCTTAACAAATATTAAGATCTTACACACTTATTTAAGTGTTATTATGCATGTATGTAAGTGTAGAAGTATATACATATGTATATAGAATTAAAATTGATGAATTAACTCGTCAAGTACCGTCATTATAGACACAATTATAGAACAATAGGTTGCGGTCACCGGTGACCGCTTGGTGTTTGACAGTTTAAATTGCATTTGTATTGTAACTTTCGTAAGACATACTAAACAAATTATTATGTTTTTGGCTTACTCATGTTGTAATTCGACGAGGAACTCGACTAGTTTCAAGCTATGCTAGAGGCTCATATTCATGAGTACTACATACTAGTCGAGTTCCTCGTCGAATTACAGCGTGAGTAAGCCGAAAACATAATAATTAATTAAATTGCAAATAATAAATCCATATATTTATGTGGGGTAGAGTTCAATCACGCAGATCGATGGTTTGATCGTATGTTTTACTTATGGGTTGCCACTATCTCACTCTATAAAAAGGAATATGCTTATGCGTATATATAGAGGAAGCCTGGGTAAGAGCATACCATTATTAAACATTTCTTCATGTTCCTTTACTAAACAAATAGACTGTATGCAGGTACAAGAACCTTATGTAAATTAGCTGCAAACATACTTTGTTAACAACACTGAAGCATCTAAACTTTTCGCAAGAACCTAAGTGTTTACCCGTTGGTGTGAATTCATTTTCTTAAGTCATTAATTAAGTTGAGTAATATATGTGTCATTAGACTCTTTTAGTATTCTGAAACTCCAAAGCAATCATCTCACCTTAAATTTTCCTTTGAAAATTTTATTAAACAGATCTTGAGGGTAGTCATTAGGTTTCACAGTGCAGAAGTTCATATCCTTGCACTTTTCGGGTACAACATTTCCGTAACGATTCTTTATATCTTGTGTTGGTCCAGGGAATACTATGAAAGAGTCGCTTTCTGGAATTAAACAGAACTAATTAAAGATACTAATTATAGATATTTTTTACACCGTACCTACTTACAGACAGAAAAAATATCTGCGCAGATCACAATAAATTCTGATATTCTACCGACTCTTAATGGTTCATACCACTAGGCGTGGATTTTATTTTAATATACACTGTTAAGAGATGGTTTAAAAAAGGAACATATTCAGGCCACAGAACCTTGGCGTGACCCTAATGTCGAGCGTTTTCAAATATTATTTACGTAAATTAAATTATTAATCGTTATTAATTAAAAGTATCTAAGTTTCTTACCTTTTGTTGTCGATGCTCCATTTGCTAACTGCAAGCTGCTCAGCATGCACTGGAATAGATAAAATCATAATCGTTATTATTAAGTGAATTTACAAGTTACCTAGAAACTAAAGAGAATTTTGTCTGTATTAATTTTATTTTAATAATTACGTTAATTTAGGTACCTCTAACCGATTGCCAAATATCATGCACCACTTTGTAATATTTATTGGAGATCATTTTATAACAATTAGAACTAAAATTGAAATATTTTATCTGACCCTGAAAATAAGCATATTTGCGGTTGTGATTCCTTACAAAACAAAACAGTCACTATAGAGCATCTGCATAATGAAATACAATATATTGTTAAAGTTTTCTTTAAGATCACTTCAATTTTAATGACGCAAACCGGTATTTCTTGTTGACTCATATTTCAGAATGTTACCCCTCGTCTATTGTCGTCATTTTACGTCACGTCGCCGTCGAGATTCTAGTCTTGAAATAATAATAATATATACATTCAATTAACATATAATTCTTGGGAATTACTTTAACGTCATGTTGTTTAACCTTGACCGAAATTTTTAAACGCGTATGTTTATAATACTGGTAATAAAAACCTCTGTCTTAAAAAAGTCTCTAACTCACATGTCTGAAGAAAAACCTCTGGTTTCAAAGTATTTACTGATAGAAAGACGTTCTAAACATGTATCTTCATGTGTTTGTCAGTATTTTGCAATTAACTTTTCAATTTTCATAGTCTTAAACAGGTCTTGGGCCTAACCCGCGGATCTACGCGAGTCACAATATATTTTCTATTAAGCGATTACATTAAAGATCAGTCTGCATAAATATGTACAATATTTACATGTGTATCATATGAATAGTACTTATATATGTTATTATACTGTACAATGTACAAATTGTACATGTCATGAGTACCTACTTATCAACGTTGATTAATTTATTACAGTTCATTGCCGCAACCTGCATAAATAATGCTATATGGTATTAGTAACATCCAATGAGAGGAACTATGTTATTGCTATCGTGATGTCACGTCATAATTATTCTATCCGGAAAATGTATGTATAAGTCTGTAATCTACAGTCGAAAGAGTAGTTTTGGAATGTTTGCTATTTTTTTTTCTAATTATCAATGAAGTGATTTTTTGTTTTTTGAGTATCATAATTTTAATTTTAATACTTTCCGCAATTTGTTTCTAGCATTCAATATTTAGTATACTTTACATATATTTGTTAGAATAATTCCTTCTAATATTTTTCCTAAACTCTTTCCCGTACCTATTAATTATTATTATCACTTTTCGTGTCAAACCACGGCTTTCCCACATTCAATTTCTTAGTGTTTTGTAGAGTAAAATTTCTGTTTAAATTACTAGTTGCAGACTGAGTGCCTACATCCTACAAGTATGGAGAGAAACGTGACTGACTTGTCGTTATTATAACAGGTTGGGACTACGACCAGGCCCTAGTTGCCTTTACTTACACAAAAACAGTGTACGCAAGAAAACCAGTCAGTAAACATATCTAATTATAGAGGCAAGTACCTAGTATGAACTTGTGAAGTTGCGCTTGAATAAATTGAACGTCATTAACCTGGGACAAGGCCTTGATCATAAAAGTGATCAAATTAATGCATACAGTTCTAATATGAGGGTGTAATGTCAAATGGGTGACATGAATGTTTAAACAGTTTGATAACTTTCACATATACGATCGGGGACCGGAGGCCTTCATAAAGTGGAGACCCATTTAAGGTAATAATCGTAAATAAGGTATGATGAGCTGCGTTTAGCTCATACATTATATACCACATAGTAAGAGACCTTTGTACATTCGCTTTTAATTTATTTTTATTGAATTCCAAGCATTTCTTTATGTAGAGGTCAAAAGTTCATTTTAATCAACCATCTGAATAGTTGTCGCAATTTATGTTATGATCTCTTTATTGTTGCAATTAACAAATTACAAAGGTTTGAGTTCGAAATACTAAAATTTATCTAAATTTTAATTTAATTTAGTAATATTGTGACTACAGATAAACTGATACAGTAACTGTTTCAGGATTATTTAACATAAATAATTGGTATGTTTCTTTTTCTGTTCCTCATACAAATTTTGAAGGTCATATTTTAGCAACCAGCTATTTTCGCAGTTCATGTGAAATAAAATTTAAATAAATAAATAAAATAATGTTTACATTCCTTTTTATGATAATTATTAAGTAAATGGCTTTCTAATAACTTCTATTTCTACAGAATTTGTTGTTATTTTTAAAGAATACATTTTAATTAAAGTTGAATTTGATAAAAACAATATTTAAAGATGTATACTAACCTTGGTCTTGACACAAAGAAACTTCTAAGCCGACCAAGGACTAAGTTCACAACAAAATAAAATGAATAGAAATATATAAAACAGCTCAAACCAAAAACAGTTATATATTAGTTATTCTATCAGTACCTATAAAGATTATCACATATTTTAGGTATATTATGTTATAGGTACTTACGATAACAAGGTAGATGCCGAAGAACATATTGCACGATTACAGCTCAATATGACATATATACAAGACACGTGCACTCTAGTCCCTCTCTCGACAGTTACTGACTTATGTGTACGGTAAACTGATTCTTTGTATTTATATTTTTTACACGAAGCGTCAAGTAAACTCTTGGTTATATGGGTTTAACGTATTTATTCCAACTATTCTCATAGCAACTACGATTGATACTGTTTGTTTTACGTTTTTCCTAGATAGCATCATTTGTGTACAGTGATTGATTTTTTATTTGTTAGAAACATATAAGTATTATTTGCTTGGACATTGGATGCAAGTGATGAGTTTATCGTTTGGTGTGAAGGACTATGGTGGGCCTTTGTCGTTTTGAATAATAGAATGAATAGTAATACCACAATGTCCATCTCCAATACCCGAAAGGGTATATCACAAGTAACGTAATTAAATAATGAAAGTGGATGGATAATTATGTCTGTTAGTGTAATTTGAAGGCAGTAAATATGCCATATCTAATAATTTAAAATCTAAAATATCCATTTGAGACCGATCAAAGCACGGGTAAAGTCAAGTCAAAGCATTTTATTTCAATTAAACCATAATTTGGTAAGGTACTTTTGAAACGTCAACAAATACAAAATAAATAATAGTCTGTCAGTCAGTCCGTCATTAAAGTTAGGTGAAGCTAGGTGTTAATTCCAAAATGTAGATTCGAATGGAGAAGAAAAAGCAAGAAACTCCATTCGTGACTCTTTTTAAAAAAAGTAATTTCTACAATGTCTCTGATACATATTCCAATACTGTACATATATGTGAGAACGACACGCTTGACGCATTATACTAATTACAAAACTTACTAAAATAAAAAAATAAAAAATCTTGTAGTCCAACATGGTGCTCATATATGCATACTGACAATCCATAAAAATAGTGTTTCTATACAAGAAAAAGGAAACTCTTTGTTTCAATAAAGAAAGAAATGCTCGATGCCATAAGGAAACTAGATTGTCTACATTAGAATGAATGGTAGTTGGTGTAAATTGACGTCATGGCGGAATTTGGGCTGACCCACGCGAAGTGATCGTCACAGGTGATTTCATCACTCACCATCACAGCCTACCCCTTCGCAACTACGTGGGCTTGAATAACAAGAATAACAGAGATGTGTATTCGTTAGATTATATATCCCCAGTTAAGTTAATTTTATTTTTAATATGTAATTATAGTTCTTAACTTAATGTGATAATTTCAATTCTCCTCAATTTCAATAATGTTGCTACTTTAAATTATTTGTAATGTTTATAATTAAAATGTCTTATAAATAATGTATAAAATAATATAATTGTATCATATAGGTATATAAGTGATAAGAAATTTTAATAGTAATAAGTTTATAGTGAGTAATTAAGTTAATAATGAATATAATAAGTACATAATATTTTAGATGATTATTTAGTTATTATTTATAAGTTAAATTGCTGCGCCCTAACAGGGTGATGTACTGTACTAGTAGTATAATACCACTATGTATATACATTTTGCAATAAACAAATAAATAATATCAGGGGTAGAGTACAAAATGTAGCTTTTTGCTGATTAATATCTGTCACTAATTTTTTAGTACAACATATTGACTTTATATATTGCTATTCTCATATATATATATATATAGTATGAGAATGGCAATTATGCCAAATAAAATTCTGTCATGTTAATTTGTATAGCATTGAGAATTTGGACATTCTGCCAAACAATAGTTATGCTTAATTAATATTTTTATGTATGTACAATATTCGGTAGGTACTTATTTTGGCGGCGGTATATTTACTTTAGAAATATTCGATAGTAGTATCGAACCAAATAAATTTAGGAGTATCAAGGATTCTGCTAAATAGAAGAAACCCTTTACTTAGTTAGTTTGCTTTAGCTTTGCTTAGTTAGGTATATTATTTATAATAAGGTATCTATCCACAATTGTAGAGGTAGAATACATAGAAGTTGTTGCGTAGTAGGGAAAATGTGACAGCAATTTCTGAAGACAGCGAAACTATGTCAGACAGAACTGATTTTTGCTAGTCATGTATATGACACATAAGGTAACAATATTATTGTTCTTAATATCCAGTACCTAGGTACCAGGTAAATCTACCTATTTACTGCAATAAATTCCTAAAATGAGTAATTTTCATTCCTTGGTTATATTTTTAGAGGGAATAGCCGCGTTGTGTTGTGACGTTGTTGTTTTACTAAGAATGGAATCGTATTATAACTGCTGGGGATTTCCTGAAATAATTAAAAATCATGGAAAAACTTGTCAGTTTCAAGACACAGTGGAACATTTTCAGATTTCTATAAATGTTTTATGTATTCGAGCAAAAGTATAGATTAATATCGATTACTTTTTCTATGGATATCTCAAAATTGAGGATTCTCGCAGGACTTTGTAAGATAAAATTAAAATTAGGTTATATTATTACGTATTAAGGCAATCAAAAAACTTATACCATTTTTTTCTTACCCTAATACGATCTGTCTTTTTGACATTCTACATTACTTTTGGTGGTCTGCGTAAGTAGCATGAGAGATGTATGTCCAGTGACATAATTACTTTTTATTTTCTCTCTTCTCTCGTAATTATATTTTTTTTAAACTTATAATGCAAATATTGTTTTTTTTTCAATGAATTAGTAAACAACTTCTAAAATTTAATTGTAATAAGAGATCACATTGGGTATTGCATTGCTAAAAAATGATAAGTCTCATGTAAAGCCTGTATGGTATATAGGTAACTTTAACCGCCTTACGTATACTATAATTATACAAAACCGTTTACTGTCTGGAAAATTAACGTCACAACAATGAAACAAGAAGGATAACTTAGATGTGCAAAGCATGTCTTTCCTCATCTCACGTACGCAGAATGCTACTCATTTTACAATGAGGAAAGCACGCGACATTTCTGAATCATTTTTGTAGGCAAGTTGTTGCTCTACTTTACACAATCACACAGAAACAAAATTATCTGTAATAATATTGTGTCAATACTCTCCCTAATACATACATATATAGCACATCTAGACACGAACGTCACTTTAGTTTAATTTCATCTTCAAACATTTTGCCATGTATTCGTCCACCTATTCAATGTTCATCTTCAATATTCTAGAGACTCTTTGCTTTCGACAATCCAGTTGTCAAGTTGACGTGGATAGAAAATATTGTTTGTAGATATCTCGGTTCATAATGGTCCGTAGATAGATAGATAATACTGTTCATAGATAGTATTTTTACGTAAACAAACCGCTTTTTTTATATTATTTAAGAGTATTTAATTTATTTAGTATACAAGGCCACTGGTCATTTCAAGGTACCTACATACGTAGGTACCGTATTCTTCAACCGGGTTATCAATTGTATTCAAAAGTTACATCATGGCTAAGAAACGTGTTATGACTTATGAATACTTATGGTACTTTGGAACAGGCCTTATTTTAAAATAGAACGACCCACTGATAGCCTGATACTCCTGATAGGTAAGAAGTTTGTGTCACAAATAAAAATAAAAATGTGTATAAAAATTATTAAAGCCTCATTTACCTACTTTTTTTTTTTTTTTTTTTTTTTGGAATAGGAGGCAAACGAGTAGACGGATCACCTGATGGTAAGCAATCAGCGCCGCCCATGGACACCCGCAACACCAGAAGAGTCACAGGTGCGTTGCCGGCCCTTTAAAAAGGAGTACGCTCTTCTCTTGAAGGTTTGAAGGTCGTATCGGTTCGGAAATACCGCCGACGACAGATCATTCCACAGTTTTGCTGTGCGAGGCAGGAAGCTACGTGAGAACCGCACAGTTGTGGCCTGCCAACCATCTATATGATGGGGATGCATATGCTGTCGTGAGGGTCGATGGCGAAAAGATGCGGCAGGTATCAGGTCAAACAATTCCTCAGAGCACTCCCCGTGGTATAAGCGGTAGAAAATGCACAATGAAGCTACATCTCTACGCATTGCCAAAGTGTCGAGCCGGTTTGAAACACCCGGACATCCAACAATCCGAACGGCACGCCGCTGAATGCGGTCCAGAGGAAGAAGCTGGTACTGGGGTGCCCCCGCCCAAAGATGAGAACAGTATTCCATGTGGGGCCGCACCTGTGCCTTATATAGAAGCAGGCGGTGGGTCGGGGTGAAATACTGCCTCGATCTATTGAGCACACCAAGCTTCCTCGAGGCTAATTTGGCCTTATCCTCTAAATGACCGCAAAACTGGACGTCGCTCGAAATATTGACACCAAGTATTCCAATACCGGCTGAGGCAGTTAGGGGGGTGCTTTGAAACTGAGGAGAGACGACCAACGGCAGTTTCTTAGCGGTAAACACGCAGACTTGTGTCTTAGTGGGGTTAAATTGGACCAAATTAAGTCCACCCCAATCAGAGATTCTCCCTAAAGAGGTCTCGATTTCAGACACGAGTCTGTTTCGGCTCTCTATGACGTTTTCCCGAGAAATGTTAGCGCGGCCGGTGTAGTAGGCATCGCCTGTGCTGTCATCCGCATAACAATGAATGCCGCTGATTTGCAGCATGTCATTGATATGGAGGAGGAACAATGTAGGCGATAGCACGCAGCCTTGAGGGACGCCTGCATTTACAGACATCAAGTCAGAGCATTCACCGTCGACGACGACTTTAATGCTTCTGTCTGCAAGGAAGTAGGAGACCCATTTGCATAATTTCTCGGGAAGTCCGTAGGAAGGAAGCTTCGAAAGAAGCGCTCTATGCCAAACCCGATCGAAGGCCTTCGCCACGTCTAAACTTACTGCCAACGCTTCCCCCTTAGACTCGATCGCCTGTGCCCACCGATGCGTTAGGTAAACAAGGAGATCACCAGCAGACCGACCTTTACGAAAACCGTATTGCTGGTCACTGAGCAGCTGATGATCCTCTAAGTAACGCAGGAGCTGGCAGTTAATAATGGACTCCATTATTTTCGAGAAGAGGGAAGTTATGGCTATCGGTCTGTAGTTAGACGGGTTAGATCGATCACCTTTTTTAGGGATTGGGTGGACTAAAGCTGTCTTCCAGGACGTCGGAACTACGCCTGAGGAATAAGAGAGCCGAAAAAGACGTGTTAG